GTTTAGAAGTCCAGTTCTCCCACTAATTACCAAATGCCATTGATTCTTGCTTCACCTCCCTAGGGGTGGGATGGAAGAAAATTGTAACAATTGTACTAATTCCTTATTAGACATGTTGGTTCCCTACTTGTGCCTGTATTGCTATTGTGAATTGTGTCTCCAATGTAACTCAGTGCTGAGTTCCTCTGTTCTCTCCACGATAGCAAAATGACTCATGTACCATTCAGGAAGCCTTGTGGAAGATCCTATCAAGAAAAATGTATGAGCTGGTCATGATGGGTGGAGTATACAATGGAAACCAGAGCCTGAGAATGTGACCTTGAGTCTCACAGTTAATGTAAACTACCTTGAATGAATATAAATAGCAAAAGAAGCTCTAACTGCCATGAGAAAATCTGCACATGACGTTGGTCCATCCTTAGCACTATGCCTTTTTTGTTCTATTTCTAAATAATACCTGGCCTGGCCTGAGGGTGGATATGGGGATGCACCATGTTGTCCTGCTGCCACCAAGGACAACTGGCCTCTTGTGGGTAAGCTCCCCAGTTAACCTTAATAAAACCTACTAATAACCAAGCTGGCATGGGCCTCTCTTAACTTTCATATCTCAGTATTTTCTCAGAGGGTCTGCTACCCTAAAACTGGCATAATCAGGCCAGAACAGATCTTATCTCCTTACAATTGGCATAGTCAGCAGGAAAGTCTGCCCCTACATAAATCTTGTGTTCTTATGTTCTTATAGGTGCCATAGAAATGCAAGTTGTTGTTATCATCATCATCATCATTTATCACTCAATAAACTCCAGTGGCACCCTTTTGTCTGTAGGATCAAATATAAATTCCCCTATTTGACTTTTAAAGCCTATCACAACTTGATCCCAATCTACCTTTATAGCCTAATTGAAAATTACTCTCTTTTCCACACTCTATGATACAGCTAAATTAGTCTCTTTTCCCCTTCAAGGCACTCTGCCTCCATGCCTGTGCAATGGCCATCCCTAATTCTTTGGATGCACTGCTCCTGACTTCTACCTCACTGAATTCTTAATTTTCTGTTAAGATTCAACAGAAGCAGGGTAGAGTCAAAATGGCAGAGTGAAAGGTAGCATTTTTTTTGCCTTAGCACCTCCACAATAGCATAGAAAGTGTACCAGATTGAAGTCAACAACAACTCACAGTGAGTCATTTTCCAATCCAGGGCAGCTTAGGAAGATTGAAAGAGAGGTCTATGAATAATGGGATTGGGACTGGTCAGGAGTACAGGAGAGTGTGCTATTTGGCATCTCTGTTGTCCATTACCCAGTCCTGAGTTATAATTCCAGAGTAGAAAGGAGTGGTCAAAAACATGGACCCTTCCTGTTTAAAGAGCAAGGAACAAGTTTTGATAAATAGGGAAACTACATTTTGCTAAAAGATACCATAAATAATGACTTAATATTAATACAGAACATATATGTACTAAATGGCATGGGATCCAAATTCTTGAAGGAAAAGTTAAATGATTTATAAGAGGAAGTAGTAAGATTGTAATAGTGGGAAGAATGCTCAATTTACTCCTCTCAATTCTAGATAAATCTAGCTACAAAATAAACAAGAAGTTAAGAAGACAAACAGATTTTAGAAAAGTTAGATATGATAGATCTATGGAGAACAGTGAATGGAACAGAAAGTAATATGTCTAACTTCTCAGATGTACATGGCACCTTCACAAAAATTGACCACGTAACAGGGCATAAAAAACTCACAAACAAATGAAGAAATGCAGAAATATTTAATTCATCTTTTATGACAATAACATAATAAAGTTACTTTCAAAAAAGGGCTTTTAAAGCATAGATTAAAACTCAACTGGAAACTAAGTAAATTAATTCTAAAGAAATCAAAGATCAATAATTTCATTAAAGACAATGACAACAATAAGATGCACCAAGATGTGTGGAATGCAGCTAAAAGAGCACTGAGGGGAAAATTTATCTCTCTAAATATTTACAACCATAAAAGAGGAAAACAATAGATTGATTAATTTGGCATGCACCTAAAAAAATCCTTGAAAAACAAAACATTGAAAACCCCACTTAAACACCAAAATAGAAATCTTGAATATCAAAGGAGAGATTAATAAAAAAAATCAAAAGTAAAAAAATAAACTAATAAAACTAGGAACTTAAAAAAAATATAAGTCATTGGTTAAGTTTATTTATTAAAAAGAAAACCAAATTACCAGTTTTAAAAATTAAGTGTGAATTCACAACCAACAAAGATGACCTAAAAGCAAGTGTTAGGAAACAATATGCCAGTAAAACAGACAATCTAAATGAAATTAATGTTACATAAATATAAATTGCCTGATAGCAGAACAGAAAAGAGAATACTTATATAAACCTATCTAAAGGAGAGAAAACAAACAGGCCATGAATGAACTCCCAGCTTGTGCAAACTTGCAGGCTACAAATAAATTCTGAAAAATCAACAAGATTTCTATGTAATGATAACAAAAACAAAAAGCAATGATGATAAGGGAAACCTCTCTCTAAATAGCTACAACATACATAAATGCATAAAATAACTACAGCATACAACACAGGAATCAAACTCCCAAAGCACACATTCATTCATAAGGATTCAATTATAAAGTACTCCTTAAGTAAGTGAAAAACAGCTTAAACGGTTGGAGTAATTTTCAATGGTCATGGCTCAGCCACACCAATATGATAAAAATGATACCACTACCCAAAGTAATTTATACTTCTAATGCTATACAAATCAAATCACCAAGGGGATGCTTTACAAAACTTGATTAAATAATTATAAACTTCATTTGGAAAATAAAAGAACTAGAATATGAAATGAATGAATAGAAATGCTGAAAAGAAGTGGAGCTGAAGGGTGGCTAGCACTTCCAGACCTCAAACTCTATCATGAAACAGTAATCATCAAAACTATTTGGAAGGTTAAAGAATAGCATGGTAGATCAATGGAACAGACTAGTCAAGGGAGATTCAGAAGGAATAGCACTCAATAACCCAATGCTTGATAAAAATAGAAAACATACGTTACCTGAGGAGAACTGCCTATTCTATCAAAACTGCTAGGAAAATTGGAAAGCAGTCTGGGAGAAATTAGGCTTAGACCAACATATTACACCACATCTACAACACATTTTAAATGCCTATGTGACCTTAATATTAAACATCGTGCTATAAAAATACTATAAATACTATAGTATAGTATAGACTAGATTTAGTATAGTATATAGTATAAAAATCATATTATAAAAATACTATAAAAAATTCAAAAAAAGAAACAGATAATGTTCCTCTTACAGGTATGGGTAGAAAATACATTCTTAAACAAATAAGAAAGAGAGGCAATTACAAAAGATAATATAGATAACTTTGAGTACTTGAAACTGAAAAGTGTCTGAATAGACAATATGAACACAGGTAGGATAAAAAGGGAGAGGAAAGTGTCAAATGGGTGAAATTTTATCAAATTATATCAAATTCCTCTGATAAAGGTTTGATATCCAAGATACATAAACAATTAATAAATACAAAGCTAATAGCCATTCTCTAATAGATAAATGGTCAAAGGATATGAATAAATGGTTCTCAAATGAATAACTGAAAAGCATTCACAATCACATGAAAAATTATCCTAATCATTAATAATGCAAAAAGAAATGCAAATCAAACCAATCCTGAGGTATCACCCTGAGGTTGCAAGTCAGCAAAAATGACCCAAAAAAATGACAACAGTCAATGTTGGAGGGCTTATGGGAGGACAGGCACACCTATACGTTGTTGGTGGAGCTATGAAATGGTACAATCACTTAGGAAAGGAATTTTGAATTATGCAAATTAAGCATCTAAAATGTCTATACTCTTTGAATCAGATACTCCATTACTGGGCTTATACTTCCAAGGAAACCGTTGATAAGAAAAAAAAGTTTATACCCCAAAATATTTATAGCAGTACTTTTTGTGTTAGCTACAAATTGGAAACAAAGTAGATGCCCATCAATTAGGCAATGGCTAAACAAATTGGGTAATGATGTATTACTGTGTTATAAGGAATTATGTGTATGATGAATATAGAAAAGCACGGGAAGGTCTATATGAACTAATGCAGAGTGAAGTCAGCAGAACCAAGAAAACAATATACACAATAGCAACAGCAATGGAAATGGAAAGAACGTGACAAAAAAAAATCAAAAGTGAATGTAACAAAATGATAAAGATTGAGCAGGACGCGAATGAAGCCAGATGAGGGGAGACCTCACCTCAGCCCCTCGTGGAGGTGGGACATTAACAGGGGTTATGCAGTGCACATGTTTGGGGACTTTTTTAATGGATCGATCAGATATGCTGACCTTTTTCTCTGTAAAAATACTATTGTACATATGGACTGGTTCTTGGAAAAGAAGAGGGAGAGAGATCCATGACATCCACTGGTGATGTAAGAAATAGAAAATATCAAAACAGATTTTAAAAAAAGAAACAGCTCAACCAACCCCTTATATATGAAATCTTTCCAAATCCCCACTTTACAAATGCTCATGCCCTCCCTTATTGAATAACTTTCTACTTATTCACTTTGTATCAATTTGGCATCTATGTATATATGTATTTGTCTTCCCAATTGGAATATAAGCTCCTTCAGGGTAAGGATTGCTTTATTTTCTGACTCGTGTGCCTGCCATCTAGTAAGCAATTAATACATGATTAGTTGATTAATTAATCCATGCTGGTTCTCCTTTAATAGCATGTAAACTGTTTGAGGACGGGACTTTTTCTATGTTTTAGACTGTTGTCATACTCTATACTTAATATTTTTAAATTAAAATTGTAACAATAACAGCAATAATGATAAGAATGAGATAACAGCGATGATGAAGATGATGATGATGATGATAATGATGGTGGTGGTGATGATGATGAAAATGATGATAATCATCAATGAAGGGTAGCATTGTTCAGTAACGACTTTTGGAATCTTACCTTTAAGTTTGTGGTTCAAGTACTCCAACATAACTCTAAGAATTTGTACAATTGTAAGTATTAAAGATCCAAATGCTAGGGAACCTGTGTGATATCTAGTCAAAGATAAAAGCAAATAAGCAAGTGAGACATTTTCACTAGTAGGACAAGGAAGGATTTAGAAGACATTTTTCCTACTCTTATGACAAACCATCTAATTCAACTGTTTTTGCATCAGAGTTTGTTGAAAAAGGCTTCTTAAACAATTTTACTCAGGTCAGTCTATCCATAGAGGCAGCTTGGCATAGTGCACAGAAAGCTGAGCTTGAAGTCTGAAAGAGTTAAGTTCAAATCCTGCCTTTGATACTTACTAGTTGGGGACCTTGGTTATGGCATGAATTTTTAAATTTTTATATTTCAATATTTGTGTGTTTCAGGCCATTCCTTAGGACTTAACTAACAAATCCGAGGAGGGCTGCAATCTGCCTCAGCAGAGGTAGCTCCCATATCTGGAGTTTCATACATGGATTAACTTACAGATGCATAATGTGCTCATATGTTGTTGTTGTTCAGCCATTTTGTTCTGTCTGACTCTTCACAAGCCTGTGGACCACACGGTCCATGAGGTTTTCTTGGCAAAGATACTGAAGTAGTTTGTCATTTCCTCCTCAAGGAGACTAAGGCAAAAAAAGGTTAAGTAACTTTCCCAGGGTGTTCATATGAACTATTTGTGCCCAACCTGTGGTACAGCTTCCTGAAATCACATTGGTTTGCTCAACCACATTTGGACACAGTGCACTGTGACCTAGTGATGTCATTTTGGGCCTCTTCAAGCATAAAGGACAATAACCAAGCAAGGCAAGAGATTAATTAAGTGACCTGCCCAGAGTCACACAGCTAGTATGGCTGGATTTGAGCTCAGGTCTTCATGACTCCAGGTCTGGTGCTCTAGCCACTGAGCTACCTAGCTGCCTCCTATGGAGAGGAGGACTCTATACTTTTTGCATAGTAGGCAAAGCATATACACACACAGTCATTCAGCAAACACTAAAAGAATTCCATCATTTATATATACTTGAGGTAAGTGTATACACATATACCAGGGGGAAAAGGAACGAGAAGGCATCATACAGTGCAAAGACAGTGCAAAGGGCACCTGTCTGAGGAGTTAAAGGACCAATGTTTCAAACCCTGTATCTGATGCTTACTGTATGTGGGATCTGGGGTAAATCACTTTGTATCCCTGATCCTCAGCTTCCTCACCTGTAAAATGAAGGAAGTAGACTAAATGGCCCCTAGAGCCCCTTCCAGCTTGAAATCTATGATCTTCTGATACATTACTTCATGAATGAAGATGCCAAGAATCCACCACAAGCAAGACAGGAAGTAGGAGCTATTCTGATGGTGGGAATTATCCTGAGCAATCTTGGTCTCTTCCTTGGTCCCACCCTTACGACTAATGATATTTAGAAGGGTGATGGGCCAGGGCTAGGGACACCACCTGTGTTCAAAGCAAAGCTAATGGATCATCAGGGCACATCAAATCCGTATCGTTGGCAAGTGGCGCCATGGTACAGTGACTAGGGCTCTGGAACAGTGTTCAGGAATACTTCGGTCCTCAGACACTTAACTGGCCATGTGACTGGGGAAGTGATTCAGTTTTCTCATCAGTAAAATGACAGGGTTAGACACAAAATGGCCTCTTATGTTTCTTTCAAGCTCTAAATCTAATGACCCTCTGAGCCTATGTCCTCAGCTATGCACTCAGCACTAGCCAACCGAGCTCACCCGGAAGTCTTACCGGAGGGCACATCCAAACGAAGCACTGAGTGGATGCGAGGGAATGTCCTTAGGTTTCTGGAAGGCCCAATAATATGAGGCGAAGGCACCTGCAAGGGTGCACTGACCCAGGGCAATGGAGAAATTCACCAGCCAGAGGAAGACAAATGCATTGAAGATTTGGAAAATTAAGATGTACTCGTAAAAAATAGATTTTCCACCATAGAAAGCAAAATGGCAGCCAGCACCTGGACATTCCTTGCTTATATTGGTAGAATAGAAAGTCTGCACATATATAAAGAAAGTAACAAGATTAGTTACTGTCCAGTCCATACAGGAGGTTTTCACCACCCCAGACTCCTCTCCCATCCCCATTCCCTCTATTGTTCCTCCTTCCAGGTCTGTTCTTGGTCACCTGTCACTTGTATCTGTTTTTAGGAAGCTCCAAAATATTCTACCTTGTGCGGGGGCATATTATCCATTGTTCAATTCAACCATTTACCTGTCTCTCCTTCCCCTGCACTCATCTACATTGAGTGATTTTGCAAATATAAGTTTTGCCATATACACAGGTCCCTGGGAACTACTGGCATGATATGCAAAAGCCCCCTCAAATAAAAATAGAATAAGGCATTTTTGTCTGGGTCAAGTACCACAAACCATATCCAGGGCACACAGCATAGAATATGCCCTCTGTTTGAGAGTATGGGTGGGGGTAGGGTGGGAGTGGTAGATTGGATTGTGAGGATGGGCAGAAAGAGACACTGGGACATTGGACATTGGGATGAGGCCTCTTCTGGGAGATCAGCACATGTTGGGGCTGGGGGAAGGAGTTCCCTTTAGCCTACTATCTGGTACCTTCCTATTTTAACTAATTATTATTGTTAACTAGGTGCTAAACTTTGTTGTTTTTTTGCCTTTAAAACATAAATTCTATCAACACTCTTTCAAGTGGGACCCTAAGAAAAGTCCCAGATGCCTCACCTTAGTTCTGTCTTTGCTCTCAATTATACACCATCCCAGGCCACTTTCATGTCTACCTTCCTCCCTTTAATAGCTTGCTGTCTAGTGGCTGGACTTTCTGGAGGACTGTGTAGACATGGGAGAGCTGTAGAACTTTGTCAGTAGAATTTCATGGGAAGATAGGAAAATGAGACATAGTCCATGAGTCATCTGGCTTCTCTACCATGTGGGCAGGGCCTGATACCATGTAAGCCCTTAATATGTGCTTGGTGATTGATTGATTGATTACCTGAGGGTCACAGGTTTCATTTGCATATTTGCAGTTAGTCCCAACATTCAGGACTTTAAATACAGCTTTCCCTGATGTAGCCAAGAAACTGAGAGGAAACTGTTAAGGAGAAGAGGTAACAATTTTAATTTAAAACAAATAACACCCCCCC